TCTGGAAGTCCCAGCCCAGGACTTCAGAGTCTGGGAGCTGTCCCCCTGATGGTAGAAATCAGCCACCCAGATGCCAAAATCATGTCCTTGGTAGGCAGAGTCCTCACAGCCACCACTGACTGTGGACTGCTCAGAGCCACAGGGTACGGGGCCTCAACTGCCTAGGGCCACCAAACAGTGTTGTTGGTAAGTAATATGACACCACTGCCCTTCTTAACTGGCTAAGTCAGGCCCCCAGGCCACCTCAGACCTCCCTGGGGTTTTGCTCTTGTGGCAGGCCCAGACCTGAGTCTAGGGCACCAAAAGGATGTGACCGTCACAACATCCTGATTAGCTTTATTACTATTAATATTCCAGATGCTCTCTGCAAGATCAGTGCCTTGTTTTGCCTCATATGTCACATACAGATCAAGTTCATGGTCGAATTGTTCTGTTTCCGCCAGGGGGGGGGGGCGGGGGGGACATACCTGGCTGTTCTCCTGATGGTCCAGTTCCACTCAGCAAGACCATTAGCAATGGCGGGTTGAAACTGCACAAAAGCGACTGTTAACATGGATCTGAGTGGGCTATAGGGGACCCCCAAGGATGGTGCAGAACCCCTGAGCAGGAAACCTGTGGAGATGCCACTAGCCCAGGCCCAAAGGGGACCCGGAAGGAAAGAGTGATAGAGAGAGCTCCCTGGGGCGCAGCTAGCCCACCTCCAGCTGCCGTGGAGGGAGCTGGGGAGGTAAACACCCCAACCTGCTCCTTCCTCCTGTCTTCTTCCAGAGACCCCCCATTGGCCAAACCCGGCTGGAAGCCATGGGGCAAGGGCACCCAATGATGTCATCCATTCCCATACAGTGTCCCTGGAGAAAAGTCAGGAAAGGGATGGAGAGGGGACCTGAGGGGCAAGTCAGGATCTCCGACACACAAGGGAGGGTGCCGTCTTAAGTAGGAGGGGTCATCTGAGCCAAGACCTGGAGGGGTGCAGTGGCTCATCTGCTTGTCTGAATGTGTCTCCTAAAACCTGGTAGAAACTTGACCTTCCACCTGACAACACTGGGAGGCGTGGCCTTTTGGGAGGTGTTTAGGTCAAGAGGACTCCTGTCTCGTGATGGATTAATGCCATTATCAATAGGCTTGACAGGGCTGGGATTGTGGCTCAGCGGTCTAGCATGTGCGAGGCTCTGGGTTGATCGAGGCTCTGGGTTTGATCCTTAGCACAACATAAAAATAAATAAATAAAATAAAGGCTTTTTTTTTTTTTTTTTTTTTAAAAAGGCTTGACCAAGGCAGTTTGTTTCTTCTTTCCTCTTTTTCCCTTCCACCTTCTGTCTTGTGAGGACACATTTTCCCTCCCTCTGGAGAGTGTGGAGGTCAAGGCACCATCTTGGAAGCGGAGAGCAGATCCTCACCAGACACCAAATGTGCCACTACTTTGATCCTGGACTTCCCAGCCTCCAGAACTCTAAGTAATAAGTTTCTGTTCTTTATGAGTCTTCTAGTCTCAGRCATTTTCTTATAGTAGCACAAACAGACTAAGACCGAATTTGGTAGTACAGGAGGACATCACATAATGAACACTTCAAAAAGCAGAAGCAGCTTGGGAATGAGAGATGGATAGAGGCTGGGCCAATGGAAGGCCCCGCTGGAAAAGCCTGAGCTGCTGTGAATAGAGCATCGAGGGCAGTTCTGGTGAGGGTGCAGAAAAGGAGCCATGGGAAGGCCCTTTCTTCTCAGAGATGACTTACATGTTGTGACAGTCATGCTGATTCTGATTAGGTCCCAGACAGAAATGAGGAGCCGGTTATYGGAACCCAGAGGATAGGCCATCCTTGTTATAAAGTGGGAAAGAACTTGGCTGAATTGTGTCTGTGTCCTGGGACTTTAGGATGTTTGGCAAATGGTATCTTTAAGCTGTAAAGGGCTCAGGATGTGTGGCAAGGYTTCTCTTAATTCCTTACGGCAAAATGGGAGACAAGAAAAATGATTTAAAGAAGAAGAGGATGATTTATAATTAAAAGGAAGCAGACCATAAATATTTGAAAATTTCTTAGCTTGGCAAAGTAAAGAAAATGTGTATGAAGGAGAAAAAGCTGGGGTTGGGGTTTGAGGTAGAGTGCTTGCCTAGCATGCATGAGGCACGGGGCTTGATCCTCAGCACCACATAAAAATAAAATATATTATTTTCACTTATAACTAAAAAGTAAATATTAAAAAAAGGAGAAAAAGCCAAGAGTATAGCCAAGCAATTATATGATAAGGAGACAGTGTAAACAGAAGGAAACCAGCTGCTTTATAAACTTTGTATTTTGTTATAGCAGCAAAAACAGACTCATACACCCTTTCATCCTAACAACTCTACATAAGATCTGTGATCTTACTCTCCCAATTACATAGTTGAGGTGGCAGAGGACAGTAAGAATAAATGACGTAAAGTTGTGTAGGCTCACACAACTGAGACTTGGGACAGTTTTTTCTTTTTAAGACAGGGTCTTACTATTAGGTCAGCAGCCTTCCCTTCCCCCTCCCCTTTCATGGCAGCTGGGGGCGGGACCGAAATGGCCAATCAGAAGCTGAAATGGCACTGGGACCCCCAACCACCACGGTTGCTACTGAAGCAATAGCCCTGTCATCTCACATCAGCTCTGACCAACCCAGTGACAGATACCAACCCCTAAACTCGGGTTTGGCCAACCTGCTGTCAGTAGCTGCAATTTAGATGGCCTAGGCCCTCCCACCTCCAGCTTCCCTAATTAGCATTGTTCTTGTCCCCCCCACACACACACACACCTGCGACTTCCCCGGCCCTCACCCTTTTGCTGATGGGTAAACCTCGCCCAGGAGCGCCCCCTGATAAACCTTCTTCTGTGCCTCATTCCTGTTCCATGGTTCCTCATCTCACCCGCCCCTTTCTGCTCTCTGCTTACTGTGCTGTCCAGGGTCCAGGCTGGTTTTGAATTTGTGGGCTCAAGCGATCCCCCTGCCTCAGCTTCCTGAGTCGCTGCACCATTCCCAATTGTCGAAGTGGGATTCAATCCCAGGCAGTTTAGCCCCAGAGATCTGGCCCTTAAAACATGATACAAGAGCATGGTAGAGAAGAGGCCAGAACACATAAACCTGAGATCCACATTCAGAGTTGTTATTTATTGAGCACTGACTGTATACTAACCACTGGGTTAGGTGCTACGAGGGGGGTGATTTTTAGTGGGACAGCAATGTGGCATTAGGTCACACTGAATCACAGTGCGATGGTGACTTCCTTCCCAATTCTCCTCATGGAGAAGCCTCAGCTTGGTGCTAGTCTGTCTCTCAAAAACTCTTGACACCTGGTTTTCTCACTTTCTAACCCCCAAATTCATAGGCTCTGGTTAGATCAAAACATGGTTTTATTTTTATTGTCTTTATTTTTACAGTTGTGGGTTATTTAAGTGAATCACACTTTTTTTTTATTTACAGAGAAATTGCCACTTATTTTTTTTCCCTTATGGATAAATTTACGGAAGAAAGAAATAGCTGATTTAAAGGGACAATTCTAAGGCTGGAGACGTAGGTTGTGGTAGAGCAGTTGCCTAACATGTACAAAGTCCTGCGTGGAATCCCTGGTAAGGAGGAAACAGGCAGGGACAAGGTTGGGTTACACATTCAGGTGGTGCACAGCTATGGCAAGGTCACAAAGATGGTACAGAAATACCCGATGTTTAGAATACTTAGACATACTTTCTTTGTTTTGTGGTACTAGGAATTGAACCCAGGAGTGCTTTACCACAGAGCTAAATCCCCAGTTCTTTTTTTGATTTTTTTTTTTTTTTACTTGTTGGTGGATACAATACCTTATTTATTTATTTATCTATATGTGGTGCTGAGAATCAAACCCAGGGCCTCACACATGCCAGGCAAGTGCTCTACCACCGAGCCACAACCCCAGTCCCTCTTTTTTATTTTTTCTTTTGCTTAGGGCCTCATTAAATCGCTGCTACTGGCCTTGAACTTGCCATCCTCTAGCCTCAGCCTCCAGAGGTGCTGGGATTACAGACATACACCACCAAGAGCAGACGGGTGTGTGCAGAGGAGTAATGGAGGCGAAGAAGGGCTGGGTAGGGGTCAGGTCAGGGGGACGTGAACACCAGGGGAATCAGTGTGGGTTTCACTCTGTGGACCACAGCAGCATAGGCAGGGAGCACGGTCAGAGTCGTGCTTGGCAGGGCTCCTCTGGCCTGAGTGCAGGTGGGGGCTCAGGCAGCAGGGGGGAGACCCCGGGGGAACAGGACCTGGATGGGGTAGAAGGGGCCTGACCAGGAGGACTCAGGAGCCCCCCGAGGTCTCAGGCTGCACCGTTAGCCACCCGGCAGCTGGCTGCATAGAGGTGGACCCTCCAGAGATGGCCTTTCAGTCTGTCCTGCTCTTTCCCCCAGGTGCCTCTCCAGTGTGACTCACTGAGAACTTTCAGTGACCTCCTGGGCTCTACTGAGTGCTGGGGTTTGGATGTCGTCTGTTCCCGTGTTCTGGGGGCTTGGTCCCCTGTGCGATGGTACTGGGAGGTGGTGGCGCCCCAAGGGAATTGGGACCCAATGGGGGAAAGTCACTCTCTCAGTTCCTCTGACTCCAAGTTTCCAAGACCTGGGCCTCATGCGAGGTGATGAGGTCACGGGGGACACTGCTCTTGGAGGAATCAACGCCTCTCTCTAGGAGTGGATTAGATCTTGGGGGACTAGATCAGTTCCCTCAAGAGAGGTTTGTTATCAAGCAAATTCAGCTTTCTCAGTGCTCTCTTGTACTTTCTTTCTCACCATGGGGATCTGTCTTTTCTCTCATTTGCCATGTGACGCCATCTGCCATGAGGCCCTAGGAAAAGCTGATAGAAGCACTCTACTCTTGGATCTCCAGAACTGTGAGCTAAATAAACCTCTTTTCTTTATAAAGGACCCGGTCACCAGCATTTTTGTCATAGCAACAAAAAACAGACTAATACCATGAGTCAAGGTAACGTCAGCAGAAGCTAGCCCACCTCCGTCTCATTAGGTGGGGGAGTTGGAAGTACAATCAGAGAGGATGGAAAACGTGGACTCATCATGCCTCCTCGTTTTGTCTTTCTTCGTGGGGAAATGTCGATGTCTGCTTGATCGCTTAGGGTGATTCAATTTATTCCATATGATGAACATCTGATTTTCCAAGACCTTCAGCTTTAGTTCACTGAACAAAAGCCGTTCAAGGATCTTGTCCTGGAGCGCAAAGCAGGCCTGCAGCCTCTCCATTTGTTTTGTGTTCAGGTTATTGTTGTTGGCGTGGGCTTCCGGAGTCTTTGAATTCATGGCCTCCTCCTAAGCTCCCCGCCACCAGGAAAAGGGGAAAAATTGGTTATTCATGCTCATCCCTTCTTGCTCCGTGCCCCCATCTTAACCAGCTGTCTCACCTGCTTCAAAAGGAAGCACTTTTGCCATCTTCTGTGAGTGACAGTGGGGACCCAGCAAGGGAAGGTCACTTTCTCGGGCCACATGGACCCCAAACTCCCAAGACCTTTGGTTGCCTCTGGTTCATAGGAATGATCTGCCATTAACCTCAAGTGCTTAGCCCAATACAGCTGTCCCCAGAGTTTGTCTTTCCCGTGTGCCTCTTGGAGCATTTTGTCAGGGCTCATGGGTCCTTCAATTGCCGAGTCTCAGTGCTCTCACAGAATGCTTCCCCCACCCCCAAACTTCTTGGGTGAAATTCTTTCTTTTTTTTTTTTTTAATTTGTTGTTGTTGTTGATGGACCTTTATTTTGTTTATTTATATGYGGTGCTGAGAATCGAACCCAGTGCCTCACACATGCCAGGCAAGTGCTCTACCACTGAGCCTCAACCCCAGCCCCATTGGATGAAATTCTTTATCTTAGTTCGGTTTCCCTATTTATTTTTATATTCACATGGTGCTGAAGGATCGAATCCAGGGCCTCACCCGTGCACCCGAGGCAAGCGCTCCACCACGGAGCCCCAGCCCCAGCCCCAGCCCCAGCCCTGACGACATGCTCTGATCTCAATAACGCTCGTTCAGTTTTGCTGTCCTCTTCCCCTCAGCTAATAATATCACCTGATCCTTATTTTTGGATTCAACTACAAACTCCTGGTATTTAAAAACATTTTAATACAATTTCAGGTGTGCAAAAAAGTAATTATCATAACAGATATCTGCGTTCCCGCACCAGTTTAAGAAGGACAATATCACAAATAGAATTAAAATCTCCTATGGGCCCCTTCTCCTAAAATATTCTCCCCACCCCACCCTTAGACATCGTCTCCTCAATTGTGATCCTGAGCGTGTTTTCTCTGCAGTACTTGGGATTGAACCTAAGAGTGTTCTACTGGTGAGCTACATCTGAGCCCTTTTCATTTTTTATTTTGACACATGGTCTCCTTAAATTGCTGAGGCTGGCCTGGAACTTGCGACTCTTGTGCCTTAGCTTCCCAACTTGCTGGGATTATGGGTGTGTGCCACCGGATCCATCTGTAATCCTGAATTTAGTATTTACTTTTTCCATACATTTTTAAATCAGAGGCTCTTTTGCCTCTCCCCAATGACATGTGACAATATCTGAAGATAATTTTGGTTGTCACAAACAGGGTAAGGGTGTGATGCTGGACTCTTGGGTAGAAGCCAGGGTACTGCTAAACTTTCTAATGCACAAGACAGCTGGACAACAAATTATGCCACCGGGATGTCACCAGTGTCAAATTCGATACCTCCTCCCTTAGCATACTTTCACTACACATATACATCTATAAACAATATAGGATATTGTTTTGATTTTGTTGTTGTTCTGGGAATTTAACCCAGGGGTGCTTTACCACTGAGCCACATCCTCAGCCCTTTTGTTTAATTTTGAGATAGGGTTTCACTAAGTTGCTGAAGCTGGTGTTGAACTTGTGATCTTCCTATCTTAGCCTCTAGAGTCACTGGGATTACCTGTATGCACCACCTTTTCTGATACTATATAAACGGTATCTGCTAGAGTTTGGACCCGGAATGTGTCCCAAAGATTTGCAAAGCAGAGACTTAGTTCCCAGTTATTAGGAGATGGTAGAACCTTTAAAAGGTGGGTCCGAGAGAGGTTTTCAAGTCATGGGGGGGATATCCTCTACCACACCCCCAAACAGAGGCCTAAAAGTGATGGGTTGCCTGATCATGGAGCCTGAGACAAAATAAACTCTTCTCTTTAAAAATCGATTGTTTCAGGTATATATTATACAGACACAATGTCAGAGTCTACACTAGGTGCATTTCTTCTGTCTTTGTGACTGTTCTCTAAAGTTGTACCTAGGATGGCACTTGTATCTCTAGCCATTTGAAATCATATCACTTAGAGTAGCCTATACCATGGTTGAGGCATGTGGACTTCAAACATGAAGTAGGAGCATCTACAAGGTCACTATTTCACAGTTAAGACCACTGAGGCCTTGTGAGGGACATGTTTTGTCCACCACCACTAAGAGGTATCTCCAGAGTAGGGACGAAGACCAGTTTTAAGTTCCTCAGTCTTCCCCCATCATCCTTTCACTGTCCTGCCCTCCACTCCCCAGTCCAGCAGAATATCCCATAACCCTCAGCTGATGCTAAATCCCCTCTTGCTCACCTGACAGTTCTCTGAGGAGGTGGGCTTGAGTTCATGCTTCACCAGCCAGTTGCTAAGCAACAGTAGAAGGAATAGGAACCCAAACAAAACTGGCTTATAGCTTATCAACCAAGCCACCAAAGCTCCCAGGGTGCCCGAGGAAGCAAGTATGGCAAGGAAATTCCTAAAAACAAGCATCAGTTCCCCCAACATTGTGGCATGGAAGAACACGGGCCCCAGGACCCTGCCTCAGTCCCCTCCATGACAGGAGGCACAGCCACTCACTCCTGAGTCATAATTAGTCCCTTCCTCCCACCCAGCTGCTGCATAACAATGTTAACTACACCTATGTCTTAAGCACTCACTGTGTGCCAGACTCTTTGACAGGCAGTTTTCAAGCACGTCTCATGACTTCCTCACAACAGCCAGGTGATGCACGCCTGGATCCCAGTGGCTCAGGAGGCTGAGGCAGGAGGATGGTGAGTTCAGAGCCAGCTTCAGTAACTTGGTGAGTTCCTAAGCAACCCAGTGGGACTCTGTCTCTAAATAAATTATAGGAAAGGGGTGGAGATGTGTCTCAGTGGTTCAGTGTCCCTGGGTTCAATCCCCAAATCAAATATCAAGCTTTATCAGATTGTTAAATGTGCAGACCAGTCAGGTCAACCCACAGGGTTTAAGACAAGTTTCAACAGCCTGCCACCTCAAGTTCCATGTCTCACAGGTAACCAGTTCTCAATCTTCTAGTTGTTTCCTTGGCATTTACCTTTATATTCCTAAACATTATGCTTATACTGTTATTTCTTGATTTCTCGACTTCCATTTATTCTGGGATGGACCTTGAGGATTTAGCTCTCACTTGGCGCCTCCTGTGACCCTGCCCTCAGCCCCTCTCTTCTCTCTCCCCCTCCAATCTTTTTTCTCCGTGCTCTCAGTATAATTCTATCACTTTGGTAAAACAAAATTCATTGACTATGTTCATTATGCCACATCAATATGTTGTGCTGTGATTACATTTTCTTTTTTGCATAGCTTTCTTATTCTTCCTGGATTAGTTGTCTCTTTTTTTCTCCTCTTCCTGTTTACTTAGTTGTTTGTTTTTAACTTCACTGAAGTACAATTTACAGTAAACAAATACACCTATTTTGCATGCCTAGTTCATCGAGTTTTGCTGAGTATTTACACCCCTGGAACCATCACTCCATTCAAGCCAAATCATTTCCATCCCTGGCTTTGATAATCCTCTCCTGGTCTTTGGCGGTCAACCCCTAACTCTTATTTCAGGCGACCACTGACTGGATTTTATTCCTAGAGATGAGTTTTTTTTTTTTTAAACCAGTTTTTGTATTTTATGTAAATGGCATAGTCTTGTTTGAAAACTAGTCTTTGAAGAGACAGGCGACTTAAGAAGGCAGATTTATAGCCGGGTATGGTGCRGCATGCGGGAATCCCACTTACTTGGGAGGCTGAGAGGCAGGAGGATCGGAAGTTCGAGGCTAACGTGGGTAATCAATGAGACCCTGTCTCAACAAAAATAAATATATTTTAAAAAAAAAAGGGCTAAGGATGCTCCGTGGAAGCGTGCCCTTGGGTTCAATCCCCAGGACCGTGGGCAGACACACAGGCTTCTATCTGTGTAACAACTGGAAAGAAGCTCGAAGAACACATGAACTGTTCCGTTGGCTCAGCAAGGGATTCCTTGAATAATTAAATGAAAACTCCGCCACCACCCCCGGCCTCATGGTGGTTAGGAAGACCCGACTGGGGCGTAGAGCAGGAGGTGGCTGGGCGCGCGGGCGGGGGACATGGAGTGCGGGCGAGACCCCGGAGTGGGCCGGGGTCCGGAGACCCGGGAGAACACGAGCAAAGGCTTGGGGACGAGGAGCAATTCCACGTGGACTCCACCCTGGATTTCCTAACTCCCCTCCGTCTTATTACCACCGAGACTGTGTGCCCTTCACAAGTTCCAGCAGTTACACCTCCATGTGCCTTCCCCCCACTAGACTGTAAGTTCTTTGAAAGAATAACTTCCTGAGCATTAGTAAATATTGGTTGAACGGACCAAAGAGCGGAGGACGGAGGGAGTGAACGGTGCAAGTCTCAGGAATAAAAAAAAGGTGGCCTTCGGAGGTGCAGTTTGGTCCTGAGCACTGTCGGGGCTGGATGCAACTCCCAGGGCTGAGGGGGCGCTCTAGACCAGCCTCGCGCTCCAGTCCATGGTGTCGCTCTAGCTGCAAACCCGCCGCTCTATGGCAGCGGGGGCGGGGCCGGGCTCGGGCGCGGCTCCGGGCCTTTTTGTCCCGACTCGGCGGGAGCGCGCGTGGGACGAGCGAAAGCGGCGGCTGTCGGAGGCGCTTGGAAAGTGTGAGGCGCAGCGCGGCGCGGCGGCTCCSGACCCACGGAGCGACAGACCGAGCGGCTCCGGCGGCCGTCGGCGGCCCGGCGGCCTGAGATGTTGTCCGGGAAGAAGGCCGCCGCGGCGGCGGCAGCGGCGGCGGCGGCGGCGGCCGGGACGGAGGCCGGCCCCGGGGCAGCGGGCGGCGCCGAGAATGGCTCCGAGGTGTCCGCGCCGCCCGCGGGCCTGTCGGGCCCTGCCGAGGTCGGACCGGGAGCGGCCGGGGAGCGCACTCCCCGCAAGAAGGAGCCTCCGCGGGCCTCGCCCCCCGGGGGCCTGGCCGAGCCGCCGGGGTCCGTCGGGCCTCAGGCCGGGCCTACGGTGGTGCCTGGGTCTGCGACCCCCATGGAGACGGGAATAGCGGAGACCCCCGAGGGACGACGGACCAGCCGGCGCAAGCGGGCCAAGGTGAGGCCGGACCGCTCCCTACCCGGGGGTCCCCGCCCCGGGCCGCCGGCCCCGCGACCACCGCCTCGCCCGGCGCACGCCCGCTCCGCAGCCGGCCGGGTGGGGAGACGAGGGGGCACCGGCGCGGCCTTTGTGTTGGGACCCGCGGCTTCGGGCCGGGCGGGAGGAGGGGTGGCGGCGCCGTCCCGCACACCTTTCCGTCTCCAGGGCTGGGAACATGGCTTCCCGGCGTGGAGGCGCGTGGCGCTGYCGGGGGCACCGCTCGTGGGCCGCCGCCGAAGTGTCAGCGAGCGGTTCCGCGCTGTCGGTGGCATCTCGGTCCAGCCGCCCAGGGACTGGAGGGCGATGCTCGAAAAACCGCCTTGGAAACGGGTCGGAAAGGAAGAGAACTTTTTTTGTTTGAGCGCTTGCTGTAGGCCCAGAGTTGCARTCTTTGGTTTTACTCTGTCTTTTGATGTAGTCTTTATAGACGAGGAAGCCGACGAAAAGGGCTTGGTCAGTTAGTGCAAGTGGGAAGAAAAAGCCGCGACACCAGACAGCACACATAGAGTGTGYCAGATGCCCAGCCGTTTTACTTTCTCTAAGCACCAAAGGGCAGGTCACTGTTAGCCTCATTTTGGGAATGAGTAAACAGAGGCACTCAGTTTAGGTGACTTCCCTCAAGTCACAAAACTAGTAAGTCATAGAACTGGCATGTGAGTCCCACGCTTGTGGCAGGGTATCATGGAAACAAAGGACCACATGGGACACCACTAATAATAGTATGTAGGGCACTGGGTCAGTCTTAGGGCAGAGTCGTGTGTTTTTCTGAAGAGTTCATTTCCTAGTTCAAAAAACTGGAAATATATGTAGATAGAAAAAATATCTAAGCCAGGTCGGGGATGTAACTGAGTAGCAGACTACTTGTTTACATTGTGTGGAGGCCCTGGATTCCATCCSTGCGGCACAAAACAAACGAATACGTAAATAAATATATGAAATAAAATTGTACAGTTTATGTCATTTGCGCTTGTAAAATTACCTGTGGGGTGTTCTTTGTTTTTGAGACTCTGTATTGTCTAGACTGCTCTCCCAATATCTGGGCTCCAGAGAGCCTCCTGCCTCAGCCTCCTGAATAGCTGAGACTACAAGTGCATGCCTCTATGTTCAGCAACTGTGTATAATTTTTTTTGGTTTGTTTTTTTCTTTTGGTACTCCAGATTGATGCGGTCTCTTTAAGTCCTGTGGGCTGGCCTTAAATTTGTGATCTTTCTACTTTAGGCTTCTGAGTTGCTAGGACATGACACCCAGCTACTGTGTGTCATTTTGAAGTGCAAATACTAGGTCAGTACAGATGAGGAGCTTCTTGAGATGAGTATTGTCTAGACTGAGAGCCCTCAGTTTCAGCTGCCTGCTTGGGACACTTCTCTATAGTATGTCCAGGGCTGTGTAGAAAGAATTTCGAAGAAAAATTTGGGGGCTTTTTACCAAAATATGGGATAGAAAAGCAGAGGTTGATGACCTCAACTTTCAGAAATGAAATAGAGGACAGAAGCCCAATAGGATTTTCTTTTGCCCTTTTAATGAAAAGGATAGCCAGAAACCATGTGGTATTGTTAAAAAACCAGATTCATTTATACCAGTTACATATGATAAAAGTCAACATTTTATTTATTTATTTTGCAGTACTGGGGATTGAACCCAGAGGTTTCTTATTTCTTATTTTGGGACATGGTCTTGCTAAGCTGCCTGAATGCCGTGAACTTTCATCCTCCTGCCTCAGCTTCCCAAGTAGCTGGGATTACAAATGTGTGGCACTGCACCTTGCCTCACCATTTTAAAGTGTACAGTTCAGTGGTTTTTATGATTTTCACTTGGCACTACAATTTTAGAACATTCTAGTTGCTCACCAGAGACACCTGTTTCATTAGCAGTAACTCCCCAATCCTCCCTGTCTCCAGCCCCTGGCAACCACTAGTCTACTTTCTTACTGTATGGATTTGCCTATTCTGGATATTTTTATATGGCATGATATGATATGATATGTGTCCTTTTGTATTTTGCTGTAGCGTGTTTTTATATACCACCCTTTGTTTATCCATTGATTAACATTTGGGTTTCCACTTTTTAGCTGTTCTGCATAACATGGCTGGGAACATTAACATTTTTTGTGTGAATGTTTTTCAGCTCTCTTGAATGTATGTCCATGGGTAGAATTACTGGGTTATATGGTAATTCCATTTTAGCTTTTTTTTTTTTTTTTTAGAGAAGAGAGAGAGAGAGAATCTTTTAATATTTATTTTTTAGTTCTCGGCGGACACAACATCTTTGTTTGTATGTGGTGCTGAGGATCGAACCCAGGGCCTCACACATGCTAGGCAAGTGCTCTACCACTGAGCCACAGCCAAGGTCCTATTTTACATTTTCACTAACA